TCCTCCTCCATGCCCATCCCCCCCTCCCCCCCACATCCATCAGTCCTCAGTTTTTGTCAGCATTCAAGAGTCTCTCATGGTTTGCCTCTCTCCCTTTCCCCCACCATTTCCGCCCTTCTTCTCCCCCTTGTTCCTCCGTCAAGTTCCTCCTAATCCTCCTATACGTGCAAACATATGATATTTGTCCTTCTCTGCCTGACTTATTTCGCTCAGCATAACACCCTCAAGGTCCATCCATGTTGCTACACATGGCCAGATTTCATTGTTTCTCATTGCCATGTAGTATTCCATGGTATAGATAAACCACATCTTCTTGATCCATTCATCTGTTGATGGACACTTAGGCTCTTTCCATGTTTTAGCTATTGTGGAGAGTGCTGCTATGAACATTGGGGTACACGTGCTCCTATGCCTCAGCATTTCTGTATCCCCTGGGTAAATTCCTAGCAGTGCTATTGCTGGGTCATAAGGGAGTTCTATTGTTAGTTTCCTGAGGAACCTCCACACTGTTTTCCAGAGGGGCTGTACCAGTTTACATTCCCACCAACAGTGTAGGACGGTGTCCGTTTCTCCACATCCTCGCCAGCATCTAGAGTTCTCTGATTTGCTCATTTTAGCCACTCTGACTGGCGTGAGGTGGTATCTCAGTGTGGTTTTGATTTGTATTTCCCTGATGAGGAGGGATGCTGAGCATCGTTTCATGGGTCTGTTGGCCATCTGGATGTCCTCTTTGGAGAAGTGTCTGTTCATGTCTTCTGCCCATTTCTTCACTGGGTTGTTTGTTTTTCAGGCGTGTAGTTTGGTGAGTTCCTTATAGATTCTGGATATTAACCCTTTATCTGATATGTTATTTGCAACTATCTTTTCCCATTCCGTTGGTTGCCTATTAATTTTCTGGGTTGTTTCCTTGGCTGTGCAGAAGCTTTTAATCTTGATGAGGTCCCAACAGTTTATTTTTGCTCTCGATTCCCTTGCTTTTGGGGATGTGTCAAGTAAGAAGTTGCTGCGGTGGAGGTCAAGGAGGTTGTTTCCTGCTTTCTCCTCTAGGGTGTTGATAGTTTCCTGTCTCACGTTCAGGTCCTTTATCCATTTTGAGTTTATTTTTGTGCATGGTGTGAGATAATGATCTAGTTTCATTCTTCTGCATGTTGCTGTCCAATTCTCCCAACACCATCTGTTAAAAAGGCTGTCTTTTTTCCATTGGATACTCTTTCCTGCTTTGTCAAAGATCAGTTGGCTGTATACTTTTGGGTCCACTTCTGAGTTCTCAATTCTGTTCCATTGGTCTATGGGTCTGTTTTTGTGCCAATACCATACTGTCTTGAGGATGACAGCTTTGTAGTAGAGGCTGAAGTCTGGGATGGTGATACCTCCCGTTTTGGTTTTATTTTTCAGTATTACTTTGGCTATTCGGGGTCTTTTGTGGTTCCATACAAATTTTTGGATAGTTTGTTCTAGTTTTGAGAAGTATGCTGGTGCAATTTTGATTGGAATTGCATTGAATGTGTAGAGTGCTTTGGGTAGTAATGACATCTTAACTATATTTATTCTTCCTATCCATGAGCATGGAATGTTTTTCCATTTCTTTGTGTCTTCTTCAATTTCCTTCATAAGTTTTCTATAGTTTTCATCATACAGATCTCTTGTATCCTTGGTTAGGTTTATTCCGAGGTATTTTATGGTTTTTTGTGCAATTGTGAATGGGATCAGTTTCTTGATTTCTCTTTCTGTTGCTTCATTATTGGTGTATAAAAATGCAACCGATTTCTGTACGTTGATTTTGTACCCTGCAACTTGGCTGAATTCTTGGATCAGTTCTAGTAGGCTTCTGGTGGAGTCTGTCGGGTTTTCTATGTAGACTATCATGTCATCTGCGAAGAGTGAAAGTTTGACTTCCTCTTTGCCAATTCTGATGCCTTTGATTTCCTTTTGTTGTCTGATGGCTGATGCTAGGACTTCCAGCACTATGTTAAACAACAGTGGTGAGAGTGGACATCCCTGTCGTGTTCCTGATCTCAGGGGGAAAGCTCTCAGTTTTTCCCCATTGAGGAAAAGATCACCCAATTTTAAGCAGAGGTGCCAATGCAATTAAATGAGGAAAGAACAATCTTTTCAACTTATAGCAGGGAAATAACTGGATAAACACATGCAAAAAAAAATTAAGTTGTACTGCTTATTTATACCCAACATAAAAATTAACCCCAAAAGATCAAAGACCTAAGTGGAAAAATGAAAATTACAACAACTTAGGAAAAAATAGAGTTGAAAATCTTTGTGACCTTGGATTAGGCAATAATTTCTTAAATGTGACACCAAAAGCATAAGGAACCAAAGTTCCTTAGATAAATTGGACGTCATCAAAATTAAAAACTTTTGTACTTCATATATACTTCTAGTAAAATGAAAAGACAACCCACAGAATGAAGAAAATATCTGTAAATATATGTCTGATAAACCTCTAATATTCAGAAAATATTTTAAAAGACTTACAATTCAACTATATAAAGAAAATACATGGGCTTGAATAGACAAAAGATTCTGAATATATATTTCTCCAAAGACATAAAATGGCCAATGAACACACAAAAAGATGTTCCAGATAATTATTCATTAGAGAAATGTAAATTAAAACCACAGTGAGATATTATTTTATATCCACTATGATGGCTATAATTAAAAAGACAGACAATAACAAGTGTTGATGAGGATTGGGAGAAATTGGAACCCCCAAACATTTCTGGTATGAAGCAGAACGCTGCAACCACTGTGAAAAGTAGCTCCTTAAAATGTTAAGTGTGGACTTACCAAATGACCCGGCAATTCCACTGCTAAGTGTATATCCAGGAGAAGTGAAAAGATGTTCATACAAAAACTTGTACAAAAATGTTCAGAGGAGCAGTACCTAGGTAGTTAAGCATTGGCTCTTGATTTCTATTCTGGTCATGATCTCACAGCCATGAGATCTGCGCTGACAGAACAGAGCCTGCTTGGGATTCTCTCTCACCCACTCGCTTTCTGCCCCTCCTCAACTCATGCTTTCTCTAGCTCTCAAAATAAGTAAATAAACGTTTTTTTAAAAAGTGTTCAGAGCAGCATTATCACAATAGCCAAAAAGTAGAAACAACCCTTGGGGCGCCCGGGTGGCTCAGTCAGTTGAGCATCCGACTTCGGCTCAGGTCATGATCTCACAGTTTGTGGGTTCAAGCCCTGCATCGGGCTCTGTGCTGATTGCCAACTCAGAGCCTGGAGCCTGTTTCAGATTCTGTATCTCCCTCTCTCTCTGACCCTCCCCGCTCAAGCTGTCTCTCTCTCTCTCTCTCTCTCAGAAATAAAACATTAAAAAAATTTTTTTAAAGTAGAAACAACCCAATGTCCATCATCTGGTAAGTGGATAAACAAATAAGGTACATCTATACAATGGAATATTATTTCACTTAAAGAGGAAAGTACTGATTTAGGCTATGACATGGATGACCTTGAAAACAGTGCACTAAATGAAAGATGGGAACATGTTACATGATTCCATTTACATAAAATGTCCAAAACAGGTAATTCCATAGGCACAGTGGGTAAATTAGTTTACCCTAGGAAGGGAAGAGAGAATGGCGAGTGCCTGCTAATGGGTATGGGATTAACTTTGGTATGATAAAAATGTTATGGAGTTAGATGATGGGAATGATTACACAAATTCATAAATATATTAAAACCCATTGAATTACACACTTTTAAAAGGTATATTTTGTATTATGTGATTTACAGCTCAAAAAGGGGTGAAGGGATCTCCTCCATCCCCAAACCCTAATCTTCTTTTCCAGAGGCTAGTAATGTTATTTGTTTCTTGGGTACAATTCCTGAATAGACCATATACATAGAGACATTCATTTGAGTGTCTATACATTCCTTGTTAAAAACAGAAATATGAGCATCGCAAATACATTGTCCTAGACTTTTTTCTCTTTACAATGTAACTTCAGCATCATTCCACTTTACAATATAACTCAGTGCTTATTCTATTTCAACATACATAAGTGTTCCTCATTCCTCTTTATTTGTTAGAAATCCTATAATTTAGTTTGCTAGTCTTTTGCTTTTATAAATAATGTTGCAAGTAATTTTCTTATATATATTTCCATTACAAGTGTATTAGTGGGACACAGTTCTAAAAGTAAAACTTCTGGTTGAAAATGTGTTTTTCTTATTTTATTTTAATTGACTGCCATTATTGATTTCACATCTCTCTTTCTTAATAAATTATGAATTCTCTGAGGACAGAGAACGTTTCTGCTTGTTGGCCACGGTAATCTAGATTCTAACACATTGCTTGACATACTGCATTATATATTTATAGATGGACCAGCCTTTGTAATTTGTTGTACAAAGTATCAAATAGAGATTCAAAGCTACATCATTAAAAACAAAAACAAAAACAGATAACAGTTTAGTTTATACAGACAGGAATTATTTGGGGATTGGTTTTTGTTTGTCTTTACTTTTCATCCAGCTGTTTTTTAGTTTTTCCCTTTCAACTCTAATATGTTTTCAAAAATTATGGGATTGGGGCACCTGGCTAGCTCAGTCATGGAGCCTACAACTCTTAGTCTCAGGGTTGTGAGTTCAAGCCCCACATTGAATGTAGAGATTACTGAAAAATAAAATCTCTAAAATATATATATGGGATCAATTGTAACATGTCATTCTATGAAATACAGAATCCTTAATTTTATCTAAATATATCAGTACTCTTTACTAAATAAATACTTGCTTCTTATATTTAAAGGAGGATGGGAGTTGATTTGCAACATTAAGAAACCCAATAGCGACACCTGCTGGAGAAAATGTCAGAATACGTTTTGCATTCATTAAATCTTTTAACATTTTAGATCAGTTTGTTTCTATTAACTGGAAGGAACTTGTTATTTTATCACAGGAGTGCTTGTAATAAGTTAATATAATTGTGTTTAGAGGAGGTTCTTTGATGCTCTATTAATAATTTTTTTCAGGACAAAGTCATTTTGGGAACGGATTACCCCTTTCCACTAGGAGAGCTAGAACCTGGGAAACTGATAGAGTCCATAGAAGAATTTGATGCAGAAACAAAGGTATATGCCTTTTACTCCATGGTCTTCCTGAGTTTTCCTGCTCTAATTCTTTAGTTTCAAAGTATGTACTTTGATACCTGACAACAAAGAACAAGGGAAACTTTATTCTTAATTTTCCTAGAATTATTACTGGAAATAGCAAAACTATTAAACATCAAAGGAAGATATGGTCTATATGTGTGTGTGTGTGTGTGTGTGTGTGTGTATAATATACATAAAACATATATATATATATATATATAACTCAGCCATAAAAAAGAATGAAATCTTGCCAATTGCAATAACATGGATGGATCTACAGTATAAGGCTAAATGAAATAAGTCAGTCAAAGACAAACACCATATGATTTTAGTCATATATGGAATTTAAGAAACAAAACAAATGAACCAAAAAGAAACCAAAAAACAGACTCTTAAATATAGAGAATAAACAGATGGTTACCACAGGGAGGTAGGCTGGTAGATGCGTGAAACAGGTAAAGGGGATTAAGAGTACAATATCTTGATAAGAACTGAGTAAAACTATTGAATCACTATATTATGCACCTGAAATTAGTATAACAATCTATGTTAACTAACTGGAATTTAAATTTTTAATTACTCTTTTAAAAAGTTGAAAGCCAACCTAGTACAACTAAATTCATAAAGCGGGGAAAGAAAACTGTTAAGGAGCATATCACAATAACATATTTATGTTTACATGTTAGATGAATAAGAAAATGCCTAAGTTTTTCCTTTAATATTTCTGTAACAAATCTACCAATCTCAAAAATTGTAATGATTCCAGTTACTTGGATCTTAAGACTAAAGCCTTGATTAACAGGACTCAAAGAACCAGAACTTTCAAGTAACATTTTTCTTTTGGCATTTGACTCGTAGGGTGGGTAAATGATACTAAAATGTGCTAAAATAATGCCACTGCCTATTTTGCCCCTTACGGTTATGAAGTAAGCATATAATGAGAGGTTGTATCCTCGGATCCCCTCTCCTTTGTCATCCCCCTCCAGTCCCACCCATATCCTTCAACATATCAAGTTCTTCCTAAGGTCCTCACCATCAATCACAACTGGTGTGGCCAAAGATGAAGACATAGGGACAATTATTAACTGGAAAACTTCAGACTGCTTTATACAGGAAGTTTCCCCTTTGCCACGTACCCATCTTAAGCCACTAAAAGCCCTGGACTGTTAAATATTTACTTATTTAAAGTAAGAAGCATGGTACCTATGTGGCTCAGTCGGCTAAGTGTCTAAGTCTTGATTTTAGCTTAGTTCATGATCTCACGCTTGATGGGGTTGAGCCCCATGTTGGGCTCTACACTCACAGTGTTGGAGTCTGCTTGGGATTCTCTCTCTCCCTGTCTCTCTGCCCCTCCCCCACTCATGCACGTGCATTCTCTCTCTCTCAGAATAAACATTTAAGCTAGCTTAAAAATAAATAGATAGGTAGATAGACAGATAGACAGGTAGATAGATAAAGTAGGAACCTACAGTAAGGGTTTTTTTAAATTTTCCTTTCTGCAACAAACATTGAAAATGAAAAACTTTCTATAAAGTTAACCAAAATTAAACTGAAATCAAATTACCCTAAGTATCCCAATTAAACCTTTAATGGAGGGGCATCTGGGTGGTGTAATCGGTTAAGCATCTGACTCTTGATTTAAGCTCAGGTCATGATCTCACAGTTTGTGGGTTCAAGCCCCAAATCTGGCTCTGTATTGACAGTGCAGAGTCTGCTTGGGATTCTGTCTCCCTCTCTCTCTGCCTCTCCCCTGCTTGTGTTCTCTTCCTCTCTCCAAAAAAGTTTTTTAAAAAAGAATTTATAAAACTTTAATGGAATAATAACTATTATTATTTTATGCCTCTAGTTACTTAATTTCATGTGCTATGATTTTTTTTTAATATTTATTTATTTTGAGAGAGAGAATGTGAGCAGCGGTAGAGGCAGAAAGAGTGGAGAGAATTTCAAGCAGGCTCTGCACTGTTAGCATGGAGCCCAACATGGGGCTCAATCTCCTAACTGCAAGATCATGACCTTAGCCAAAATCAAGAAGCAGTCACTTAACCAACTGAGCTACCCAGGTGCCCCTATGCCTATGACTTTTAAGGTCAAAGTTTTTTAAAACTCTTGCATGAAAATTTCACACTGTTACAAATTCATGACATTCCTTAAAAGGTTGCTGACTGTAACACTGTTTATAATAAAAAACTGAAAAGAATCTATAGGGGAATAATTAAATAAAATATATCCATACAATGGAATGTATAAAAAAATAAAAATCAATTTCCAAGATATATTAAATTTTAAAAGCAAGGTACAAAACAACACATATAGTGTACTTCCATTTGTGTATAATATACTATCCATTTATGAAAAAAATCTATATACCTAAATTTAAGTATTTGCTTATATATGCACAAATACTTCTGGGAAAACAGACAAGAAACTAATACGTCTGGGAAGAAAAAGTACTGGCTGGGTGACAGTAGTGAAAGGAAGCATCCATTTTACATCTTTTGAATTTTGAGCCATGTGAAGGTAAATTTCACTTAAAAAATTTTTAAATGAGGGATGCCTGGGTGGCTCAGTCAATTAAGTGTCTGACTTTGGCTCAGGTCATGACCTCACGGTTTGTGAGTTCCAGCCCTGCATGAGGCTCTGTGCTGACAGCTCAGAGCCTGGAGCCTGCTTCGGATTCTTTGTCTCCCTCTCTCTCTGCCCCTCCCCTGCTGATGCTTTGTCTCTCTCTGTCTCTCAAAAATAAATAAATGTTAAAAGAAAGTTAAAAACTTTACAAAAAAAAATTTTAATGAAATAAACCCATTTGATGACCACAACAACACTGGGAGGCAGTTGCATTCCACCATGTAGATGTAGAGGCAGATGTAGGTGTAGATGTAGACAGAGGAGGAAAACAAGATTCAGGTGCTGGGTGATTTACCAAAGGCAATATTAACCGTTGGATTACAGCACATGGTACCAACCTATTTGTACAGGTAAAGCACATAGTTTCTGAATGCAGCAATAGTCACTCTAAAAGCTTTCTTTAGAGGGGGATGGCCCAAGTGCAGATCAAGGAACAACCCCGAGTAAGAGGTCCCTGCTTAAATCACCCGCTTTCCAAGGCTGTGAGAACCCTGAGGTGGTCAAGACACACTGAAATGCATTAATATCCACAGATGTTACACAAGCCCACACGTTTCCTTCTACTCTTGCCTGCCCTCTGCAAGCTGGACGTATATCAATTAGGATATCACGAAAGTTACCCCTTACGTCACAGGAGTTCCTTTGTGGAGCAGACCTAGTCTATAACTTGGAAGAAAGTGAAGAAAAAATTCGGAGTCCTTTTCTCATCTGAAATCTATAAATATACATACTTGTACCATATTCTGAGGTGCTTCATCTGTCACTTCTCTTGCACCCAAAGAGCATATCTTTTACTCAGGGCCATGTGAAGGGACAACACTTATGCCTAGAAACTGGAAGATGCCTACAAGACTCTGGACACTGTTTCCAGCTTTCTTGTCCCACACACCTAAACCAGACCTCTTCTCCATGCAGTTGACATTTGGACAACAATGAGTTAGGGGTGCCAACCCCTATATCGAAATCCATGCATAACCTTTGACTCCCCAAAACCTTAACTACAAATAGCCTCCTGTTGACCACAAGCCTTACCAATAACATAGTCAATCAACACATATTTTGTATATTACATGTATTTTACACTGCAATGTTAGAATAACACCTAACTTTTAAAAAAAAATACTTTTCGGTACTTCTAGGTTACACAATTTGCAAGATTTTCCAAACTGTCATAAATCTCCAAAAAATTTTCTAACATATTTATTGAAAAAAATCCAAATGTAAGCAGACCTACACAGTTCAAACTCATGTTATTCAAGGGTCAACTGTATTTGCCTCTAAATAGTCCTTGAAACCCATTTGAGGTCTCCAAAGAAGGGCATTTTCTCCTAAGAGGGCTCTCCCCACTAATAATTCTCCTTTGTTCCCATGACCAAGTTTCAAACTTAGATTTCAAATAGTGGGGCAAAACAGGGGTCAAGAGATTCATTGTTTAACTGGCTAAAATTTTTCTCTCACAATGAAAATTCAGCTTTTAAAAACCTGATGAAGACACTCAGTAAAGTATTTTTAAATTTTTTTTTATGTTTTATTATTTCTAGGAGGGAGAGAGAGACAGCATGAGCAGGGGAGGGTCAGAGAGAGAGGGAGTCACAGACCGAAACAGGCTCCAGGCTCCGAGCCGGCAGTCAGCACAGAGCCCGACGCGGGGCTCGAACCCACAAACCGCGAGATCATGACCTAAGCAAAAGTCGGACGCTTAACCGACTAAGCCACCCAGGCGCCCCAGTAAAGTATTTTTAAACAACCATTAAATGATGCTTTAAAATAAAACCTGAGCATTCCACTTTTTTTTTTTTAAATATGTATTTATCTTGAGAGACAGAGACAGAGTGTGAGCAGGGCACAGAGAGGGAGACACAGAATCCGAAGCAGGCTCCAGGCTCTGAGCTGTCAGCACAGAGCCTAACGTGGGGCTTGAACTCACAAACTGTGAGATCATGACCTGAACTGAAGTCAGACACCCAACCGACTGAGCCACCCAGGTGCCCCGAACATCCCATTCTTGACATCAGCTCAGGTCATGATACCAGGGTCATGGGATTGAACCCCACATAGGGCTTCTGGCTGAGTGTGGAGCCTGCTTAAGATTCTCTCTCTCTCTCTCTCTCTCTCTCTCTCTCTCTCTGCCCCTCTCCTCCACTTACACTATCTCGCTAAAAAATGAAATGAAATGAAGTGAAATGAAGTGAAATGAAGTGAAATGAAGTGAAATGAAATGAAATGAAATGAAATGAAGTGAAGTGAAATAAAATAAAATAAAACCTTTTCTTTTCCTTTGCAGGATAAACTCAAAGCTGGAAATGCTCTAGCATTTTTGGGTCTTGAGAGAAACCAATTCGAATGACTGAATTTACTACAAAGTCAAACATTCAAGAAGATATTTTATTTTTGTTTTTGAATATGTATCACACGTGCATTACTAAAATCTTATTTTGAACTATTTTATCCAGAAATAGGATATCCACAAATGTTCTATATTATTCACAACAAAAATGACTCACAGAATTTTTCATTCTGAAAGGCAATACATTATTTCATGTGCAAATCAAAATGATTTTCCCAGCACTTTTTAACTTAATGGCAGAAATAAAAAGCAAAATGCCATTCATTCATGATTTATATGGAGAAAGGCCAATCCAGACTCATCCTGTAGGGCTCAGGTAGGTTCTCCACTTTGAGCAAATATATGTGAATGGGGCCCAAAGAACCTGTTTTCATTCACTTTTAACACCTCCCATTAGTCCACAACTGGGCTGGAAATGCTTTAGATTCCAAAAAAGATAAGTGATATATGTGTATGTCTGTATATATTCCATAATCTCTAGAGAGTTTATAGCTCAATTAAAGAGGCAAGACACATGTTCCTGGAATAATTACTAAGCAATACTTTAGGAATCACAGAAGTTTCAGTAAGAAAAATTCATTTGGATTCAAACTGGGGCAGATCTTCATAGAAGTTGGGCTGAGTCTCTAAGGATAGACAGGCTTGTTCAGAATTGGAAGATGGGAAATAGACAAAGGGGCAAAACTATAAGAACAGAGATTTCAAACTGAATGAGAACTTAACCTATTCTGGAGAAAAGTTCCAGAAAAAGGTCATTTATCTTTACCAGAAGCACTTTTAATTTTAAAATACTGAGCAAAGTGAGGAAAGCTAGTTCTGGAGATTGAGCGGGGTGATTCCAGGGTAGCCTTGTTCTACTTACTTCATTTATGGTGGTCCCATCGGAGATGCTGAAAATGAACTTGGTCCTGGGAGGGGTGATGAACATCTGTGGTTCATGTGCCTCTGGCTAAATTCTAAAAACCAAATATAATTTTTCAAAATTACTCTCTTGCCTTGGACTCATTCATAGTTCTTTTCCCTTCCATTAGCCCAGAAAACCAAGAGTTCAGTATTGGCATGTAATTTTTAAGTTTTTTTGAAAAGTCGATACGTGAATATAATAGAAGAGTTCGAATAGGTCAAATTCAACCTGTCCCAGAAGGAAACGTTTTTACCTGTTCTTTTGAGTATTCTTGCAGAGATCATCTAGGACTATACAAGTACTTACAGGTACAGATTCCTCTGTTCATTTTACCCAGACAGTGGCATCTTGCTTTGTCTTTTTCTGCTTAATATGTTAGTGATCATTCCACATTTAAGCTGCCTTCTTTTTATAACAGTCTATCTTAAGTTGGTAACTTAAGTTTGGATGCATTCTAAAGCTCTACAATTGAACTTAGCCCTCACATTTTACATCTTTCATATCACAATTTTCATCTTTTTATCTTATGTGTCCATTGACAAATTATTGTAGTTACAGTTAATAATGCTTTTTTTTTTAACCTTCACACAAGCTTTATAAGTGATTAACCCAACACCTTTGCAACATTAGATTATTCTACATATTTACCTTTACCGGTGAGACTTATATTTTCATGTTTTCCTGTTCCTAATTAGTACCCTTTAATTTCAGCTTAAATAAGTCCCTTTAACATTTCGTGTAAGGCCAGTCTAGGGGTGATGAGCATCTTTAGATGTTCTTTGTCCGGAAAACTCTTTATCTTTCAATTCTGAAGGAACTTTGCCAGGCATTCTTTGTTGGCCAGTTTTGTTTTCTTTCAACACTTTGATGCCTTCTTCCTTTAAATAACTGAACAGTATTATGTTGCGATTCAATTCAAGGACAGTCATGCTTCTACTCTTTTGCAGTGTTAAACTACTCCTAAGAACATCCTTATGACATAAAATGTTGAAAATCCTTTCATATGCTTATTTGCTATCTGTATATCTTCTTTGTGAGGTGTGAGTTCAGGTCTTTTACCTAGTTTAAAAGTGGAATGTTTTCCTCTCAACAAAGTGGGCTTAGAGGAAACATACCTCAACATACTAAGAGCCAGATATGAAAAACCCATACTCAACATCATACTCAATGGTGAAAAACTGAAAGAATTTCCCCAGGGTCAGTCTCAAGACAAGGATATCCACTCTCACCACTTTTAATTCAATATAGTCCTCAAAGTCCTAGCCACAGCTCAGACAGCAAAAAGAAGTAAAAGGCATGGAAATTGGTAAGGAAGAAGTAAAACTCACTATTTGCAGATGCTATATACAGAAAACCCTAAAGACTCCACCAAAAAAAAAAAAAATTAGAACTGATAAATCAATTCAGTGAAGTTGCAGAATACAAAATCAATATACAGAAATCTGTTGCATTTCTATAAATTAATAAAGAAGCAGAAAGAGAAATTAAGACAATTCCATTTATAACTACACCAACACACACACACACACACACACACACACACACACACACACACACACCAAGAATAAGCTTAACCAAGAGGTAAAAGACCTGTACTCTGAAAACTATAAAACATTGACGTAAACAAATGGAAATCTATTCCATGCTGATAGACTGAAAGAATCAACACTGTTAAAATGTACATGCTTCCCAAAGCAATCTGCAGATTTAATAAATCCCCTTCAATATGTAACAGCACTCCAGCTGATCCTCTTTCTCCCTCTCTCTACTCCTGCCCTGTTCTCACACACACACACACACACACACACACACACACACTCTCTCTCTAAATAAATAAATAAATAAATAAATAAATAAATAAATTTTTATAAAAAAATTTGCTCTTGAGTAATGGCCTTTCAAGCAGTGGGCAGCTGAACTTGGGTGCAGTAACAAAAATACCAATGGCATTTCTCACAGAACTAGAACAAATAATACTACAATTTGTATAAAACCACAAAACACTTCAAATAGTTAAGGCAGTCTTGAGAAAGAACAAAGCTAGAAGTAACATAATCCCAAATTTCAAGAAATACTACAAAGTTGTAGCCATCAAAGCAGTATAAAAAATAGACACATCGATCAATAGAACAGAACAGAACACAGATATAAACATGCTTACATGGTCAACTAATACATGACAAAAGAGCAAGAATATGCAATGAGGAAAAGACAATCTCTTCAATAACGGTGCTAGAGAAACTGGACAGCTGCATGCCAAAGAATGAAACTGGACAACTTTCTCACACCATACACAAATGATGTGAACTCAAAATGGATTTAAGAACCGATACGACAAAACTCATAGAAGAAAATATAGGCACTAATCTCCTGGACATCAATCTTAGCAACATCTTCCTAGATATGTCTCCTCAGGGAGAGGAAACAAAAGCAAAAATAAACAAACTACTGGGACCACATCAAAATAAAAAGCCTTTGCATTGTGAAGGAAACCATCAACAAAACAAAATGAAGATATTTGCAAATGATATATCCAATAAGGAGTTAATATGCAAATATATAAAGAAGTTATACAAGTTTACACCAATAATAATAATAATAATAAAATTCCAATTAAAAATGAGCAAAGGCCCTAAACAGACATTTTTCCAAAAAAGGCAGATGGCAAACAGACACATGAAAAGATGCTCAACATCACTAATCATCAAGAAAATGAAAATCAAAACCATGAGACATCAACTCATACCTGTCAGAATGGCTAAAATTAAAAACACAAGACATAGGAGTGTCTGGATGGCTCAATTGGTTAAGCGTCCAACTCTCGATCTCATCTCAGGTTGATCTCATGGTTCATAAGATCAAGTCCTGCATTGGGTTACACACCATTAGCACAGAGCCTGCTTAGGATTCTCTCTCGCTTTCTCTGCCTCTCCTCTCTTTGTACGTGTGCTCTCTTTCTAAAAATAAAAAAACTAATTAGTTAAAGAAAAAAGAAATAACAAGTGTTGGTGAGGACGTGGAGAAAAAGGTACCCTTATGTAGTACTGGTGGGCATGTACACTAGTGCATGGTATGGAAAATGGTATGGAGGTCCATCAAAAAGTTAAAAATAGGGGGTACCTGGTTGGCTCAGTCAGTTGAGCATCTGACTCTTGATTTTGGCTCAGGTCATGATCTCATGGTTTGTGAGTTCAAGACCCTCATAGGGCTCCATGCTGACAGTGTGGAGACTGCTTGGTAGTCTCTCTCTGTCTCTCTCTCTCTCTCTCTGCCTCTAGCCTGCTCTCTGGTGTGCAGTCTCTCTTTCAAAATAAACTAAAAAAAAAAAAAAAA